CCGGAGCTGGGTAACTGTCAAAGCTGAGCCAGAAAACCTGTTACTCTTCTTCCCGCCTCTATGCATCAAGGCAGAGAGTGTTAATGTTATTTAAATGCAGTTCATTGTTCATATAAAAATATTTTCTGAAAATGAGTAACAATAATGAAGGGGAGAGAGTACAAGACTGGATTTAGGCCCACAGCACGTAATTTAGTGGCAGATCATACATCTAGATACACACGCTGTCTATTATGAAAACACTCTTTAAGACATACACAATTGACACCCAACTATATAGTTTGTGCAAAATATGCATGAGTGCATATTAACTGCTCACATTTTAAAGCACTGTTTTTGTCATGTTTATTTTACCAAATGCCAAAGGTGATTATACCTTATTATAGGTTGGCTGCTTGTCAGATTTCAGAGTTGCTTTGCCTCTAAGTCACTTCTATGTTTTGTAAATCCTTTAAAGGATTCAACCCACAAGTTTACATTGTTTAGCCCACAGATTTTAGAAAACACCTAAACAGCTTTTTTTTTTCCAGGTTTTTTTTCAGTTAAAAAAAAAAAAAGCAAGCAAAATAGTCACAGTTCAAGCTAATAACTTGCATGCCATGTTCAACTTGGAACAGCTTTATGTGGCAGTGTTACACAACTCGGCTGCAGTAGTTGCCCTGCAATAGGGGAGAGCACCCTGCCTAGGAGAAGCAGAGGTTATATAATGGTGAGAAGCAGCCAGGGACGTGCAGCGAATGGATGTGTTTAAATGGGAGCCAAAACAAAAGAAGTGCTCAAGAACACAGAGCACTTTTTCTTTCCTGGGTTCCTGAAAAAAAGAGATCTAAGAGCCAGACTGGCACCCATCCTGCTAAAGGAAATGGATTTATTACCCAGGCTTTCTTCTAAGGACTTTTTTTTAGTCTTGTAGTCCTTGCTCTTTTATTTTGTCAAAAGTAGAGATGTTATTCCCTGAACTCAATTAGTATACATAGATGTTGAAAAAAAAAACTTTCATTTTTCAGATGCCAACTGTGAAAACTGGGAAGAAAGCTACTGCTGGGGGATTTTTAGGAAGCCCTGGTGTGTCCCTGGTTCAGCCCAACTCATTCTGCAGGACAGTGGTTATACTCCCCCTTTCTTGGCCCTACATGACATTGCTGTTGCTCACCTCACCTTCTTGGTGGGGCTCTGCCACATTTGTGCCTGATATCACTGATGTTCTTGCAGCTCAAAAGTTAGCAGTGTATACAGTGAGTACAGACAGCAGTTTGCAGTGAAGGGCGAAGGGCATGGAGGTAGAGAGGGTAAAACCAGAATCTTCCAAGTGCTGCATTTGCTCAGCAAGTGGGTCCCCATGACTCTCAACACAACAGGCAGGGCTGAGCTCTGCTGCAGGGATTTTGACTAGTGCTTGCTAATGGCTGGGACCAGGTCTGCTGAGGTTTGGAGGAAGGATGAAGGCCGATGAGACCTTTCCTGGGATGAGTAATGCTGGCAGTTTACTCTGGCAGAACTGCCCAGGTGAGTGAGTTCTTCTTTAAGGCCCCAATCCATGCATGCATGATTCTCCACTTTTCTTTTAGGATTTCTTCTCTCCATCAAGTATTTGGGGATCAAATTAACAGATTTTAGAGTCAAAGCAACAAAGTGACACGCATGCAATGCACAATACAAATGTCTAACCCTGTCTACACTGCTCTCCCAGTGCACTCCAACACTGTTGACCACACTTAGGAGACGCCACAGTGAACAAACCCACCCATTCTGCTGCTGAAGGGGAGCTTCCAGCTCCTAAAACAGCTCAGCACAGTCATGGCTCAGTACAAGAAATTTTCCTGCATCTACAAATGACAGCATTAGGTTTATCTCATCTCCCACAATGTTGAAATGCTGATGGATGCACCACAATTCATTTTCTACTCCCACCCTCCTCCTCCTACACTCCACCTTTTCATTTCTCTACTCCTACTCCTGCTCCTGTTTTCCACTCCTCTACAATACGTCTCCTATCAACCTTAGCATCAACTTGTATTTTTTTTTCAAATTTAAGACCTGAAGATTGCCTTTTATCATCACTGGAATAAAGTAGAGCCTTCTATTCATATTCTGGGTCTGAGGAAGCCAAAATAAAGGATCAGTGCTGTCTTTTTACTACTGTCTGTATAATTCACTTCCTGAGGTTTTGATCAAATTCAGCAGGAGATTACATAAAGTTGAAAGCACTCATACTCTATGTACAGCTCTTTTTTTCTACATGAGTGTGCGTGGTGAGAGAGTACAAATGTTTTAACAGAATAAAAAGCAACAATGAAATACCAATTTTTGTGTGGTATCATAAGAGCTGGGAGAAAGCTCATTTTCTGAGGAAGGATGGGGAAGTTCAGCCCCTCCGGTTTCCTCCCATGTCTCTCAAGAAGGGACTGACTTTGATTGGAAATGCATGTTTCCAAGGAGTCTAGGTTATTGGAAGGGTGCTGCGGGACCTCAGTCACATCTGCTCCCAGCCCAGGGTAGCTGAGTGCTGCCCCATACAGGAGGGTTTGGACATGTCCTGGTTGAATAAGGCATTTACGTTGCCCTGCTAAGAGAGTTCAAAGTGTTTGAAGCTCTCCCAACCCATCTGAGGCTTCTTACTGAGCCACTGGAGAAAGGCAGTCCCTCTGCACAGCATTTCAGAGCAGGAGCTTCACTGCTGTGAGTTTCCTCCTGGCACTACTCATCTCTCCGCACCAACCAAACGAACCGCAAATGGAATTTAAAGATCTGCTAAACCCTCACCACAATTTGGTAATGCTGAGCTCCCACTCCCTTTCCACCCGCCCTCTGCCTCCTGTCTCACACAGCAGCACCCACAGGCAGGGCAGGGTCCATCTGGGACAGGTGGAGGTCACATTTAGGATCACTCTGTGGTCAATGGAGAGAAACACATTCTCCCTGTGAGTGATTCACCACCCCAGATAGTGGAGATGACTGGCCATTGAGAAGCCAGGCACTTACTCCCAGTGGTTGCCACTCACTTTTAGCTAGCTGCCTTCAGGCCAGCAAATCCCACTCGTCCCACTTTATAGTGCACAGAAAACACATAATCTCTGATCCCTCTGTCATTGCATCAACAGTAAGAAAAAGGCTATGCCACACAAAGTCGGGCTTACGGGCTAACTGGGCACTGCAGAGAGACAGCAAAAGAACGGCGAGATGACTAGTCCTGCTTTTCAGGGGGAAATGTGGCCACCACGAACACTTATAATGTGCAGAGGGCCTCAGAGAGGCTGCATGGGCAGAGACCAACTTGGAAGCCAGGTCTACCAAGACCCAGTCCTTAGGTTTAAAAAAATTCATGTCACCAAAGAGTTGTCAGGTACTTGCTGGTGAGGGTTTTGAAATTACCTTGTTTTAGGTCCATCTCTGCCTACACACAGGCAAAAATCTTGAACACTCCCCATAGAGGCAGCAAGGCCCTTCTGGATTTACATCTGTATGGTTAGAACTGGGGCCATGTGCTGACTGCACTGGTTGCCCACCTCACTGGACATATTTCAGACTTGAGAACTGACAGATCTTCAGTGTGGTGCAACTCCAGCCTCCAAAAAGCCTTCAAGGAGCCCACTTCTTCTTCTCAGAGGAGATGGGGAACTGTGGCTGGTGATGGGAGAGCTGCCCAAACAACCAAATACTATCTCCTTCACCTCCTCACAGCCTGCTGCAGGGAGCTGGACTGCTGTGACGGAGGTTTGCACAGCAGCTGCTGCATCCTTCTCCTTCTCTCCAATCTCCTACTCCTCCTTCTCCCCCTCCTCCTCTTCTTCACCACCAGCAATTGACAACAAGCCTTCAAACCAGACAGCAGCAACCCAAGCCAGCCCCTTCCTCCTTCACCAATTTCTCTGTAGCAGCTTTAGTGGTAGAGAGCAGTCAGAGGGCTTGGCAGGCACTTCTGCCAGGAGGAAGGGTGAAAGGGAGTTGTCAAGAGGGACAAAGGTGGGGTCATGCTTCCCAGACTGGGAGATGGAGCTGCTGGATGTTGGGCTACCAAAATCTTGGTGCAGACCTAATGGCTGATGATGTTGGACCACCCTGGCTTAAAAGAAGTGCCGCAATAAATATTTAGTTACAAAAGTTAAAAAATAATTTAGTATTAAAAATATTTTTTACTAAAAATAGATAGCAAAAATATTTACTATGTGTTTTGGGACAGTTTCCTTTGATGTTGCTCATACTTCATTTTTTCTCAGCATCTGCAAAAATGTAAACAGTTAAGATTTGAGGGCAGGATTTCATGGAACCATTTCTAAGTTGCACTATTATAAGGAATCAGAATTTAATTTTACATTTTCTTGTGCAAAAGCTCATGCTAGAAGCACTTGTATGTTTTTTCAATCAAAGAAAAGAAATAATAGTAAGACAACTTTACCGGTTGGTGTGATTTATGCAGCTCAAATTCCTGTTAAGCATGGCTCTTAACATTTGGACAAAACCATATTCACTGAATGAGCTCAAATGAGGCATAAGTTACTGGGAACCAGAATCTGCTGCCACAGTTTGTAAACAGAAGCTAAACAGAAGAAAATATTTGACACAAACTCCGCTCTCAATTCTGTCACAACCTAGGCTCAAGACCTCCCATTTAAACACGTGTCCTCTTGCACCCACACGCGTAAGTGAAAGATTGAGGTACAGTATGACCAAGAAATGGTCCTTACCAGGATAATACAATAAATAAATACCAAAGGTAGTGTCAGCATAGCGGTATCTGGTTTTAATGTGTCATGTGCAATCACTGGCTGTGATGTAAAAACAGAAGGCAAGAGTTTATCAGGCTTCAGATTCAGCTGAATCACCTGGCCCACCCCTATGCAAAGGCCAATGTGCCTGGAAGTAAACACAGTTCAAGTGCTGTGTGTGTTTTCCAGGGTGTTGAGTTTCTGTTTTGTTGTAAATATGATCTATTACAATATTCTCCCACATCCTACTGTCAATGTTTAAACATTTTCAGGTGCATTTCTCATTTCTTGGTTTCCTTTATATATCACTGAAGGAAAAATTGACTGGCTTCGCATGATAGCTTTTGTATATTAAATAATTTTATTGTGTTTGAGCAACAAGCTAAAAACAGGACACTTGACAGTTATGATATAATTCAGTGATTTCCCTTCAGTCCTTAGAAAGGAAAATTCATGGCACAGTACAATGCAATGCTTGACAACTATTTCATCTTCTTTTCCCTTGTTTCCCTGGAAAACTGATAGCTACCTGTTATCAAGGAGAAAAATAATTTATAGCCAGAATCAGCAGGAAGGCTGGTAAAACAAATATTTTTTCCATTGTTGAATTTGTGCTTGAAAAGCATATTTATATATGTATATAACTGGATTTGCATACAAAGAGGTCATTATGTATATGCCACACAAATACATATGCATGATAACATTATATGCATTTTTTGCTAGATTTATATAGATGCAAATATGCTCAGACAATAATAGTAAAACAGTATTTTGGCATATATGCATATATTCCTATGCTGCTGGTGACTAACACACTACAGAAGGCAATGTTTGGGCAGGACACTCAGTAGGTAAAGTCTGTAGTTAAAAAATATCATCCATAGGGTAAATGTCCACAGTAGAAGGACAGCAACCCTAGGCAACCCTAGCAGAAGGACAGCAACCCTACACTCTTTTATCTCTCTGCAAAATGGGTATAATAATGTCTACCCATTACAAACCTGATGTTTGCAATGTTAACTGGTAACTGTTGTAAGTGCTTTGAGATCTGGCGCTGCAAATGCAAACCTTGCTCATACCTGGGCTGTGAGGAGAATATACTGATGAAACTGAAACCAGCACGGTTCTACCTGAAGGCAGAGGCACACCACGTACCAGCCTGGAAACAGATAAGAGCAGCAACCAGTAGTTTCAATTTTACAATTGCATCTGCCAAGCCCCAAATAGTGAACCTCAACCACGATCAGACAAGTTTGTGCCATGTGATCAGTAGTGGGAAGACACATGGTGGGCAGCAGTTTGGTGGCTTCTCTTTTTATGAAAAAAGGAGATGGGGATCACCAATGAGATTTAGGAGGGGGACAAAGGCATGGGCTGCAAAGGGGTAAATGTTGGGGCTATTCAGATCCATCCACCCACACATTAGAGAAATGCTGCTGCAGCTGCACAGAACTCAGCAGTGGCTCCCTGAGAGACACCCACTTTCACTCTTTGCTGCTGTTGTGGCTGATAAAGCAGCTTGCAACAACAACAAAAAAATCCAAAACCTCAAAAAAGACCCAAGCAAACAAAAACTGAATCTGACAGCAACTGGACTCTCTGGTATCTCTTTGCTGTGGTGCGGACCTGTTCATTGAGGCATAAACCCACAGGAGATATTCTGTCCTCTCCAACAGGTGCCAAAGCCACTGGAGGATGGGAAATACAATGAAGGGGAAGAGGGGAAAGAGTGAGAACAAAGGAAAAAATTAGAAGAAAGAAAGGATGGGGGGAGATAAGGGAATCACAAAAAGAAGTCACAATGAGGGAAAGACCCTAAAGAAAGGAAAGGAAAAAAACAGAAAGGAGGAAAAGAAACATGGAACAAAGAGAGGAATTACCAGTGTATGAAGAAAAAGGATGTGTATCAGAGCACCCCAAATTGAAAATTTTGCAAAACAAAGAACCCTCAAAGATACTTAAAAGACACTGAAGGACTGTCATTCCAGAGCTGTGCCTCCAAGGGTCAGTGGGCAACCTCCACAGGTGTCCAGAGCAGGTCTGCATGGGTTACTCCTAGAGAGCTCACCCAGGCCACATTAACATCCCCACCACAATGTGAATTGTGGAGATTTAATGGGCAAATGGATCCAGAGTTTCTGCCCTTGGTGCAGTTAGAAGTAATATTGCTTTTCAAAACTCTGCACTGTGGTGAAGTTCACACGGTCGAGTGTGTGCTGGAAAGCTGGACCTGCACCTTGGTTTCTGCCATGCATGAACCAGTCAGCATTTCCTTTCCCTGTGATCCTGGGGCATGGCTGACGTTGCCCTGCAGCACTCACAAGTCTAGAGTAACTACCCCAGGCTACAATTCCCTGTGATGTTTCCAGCAAAATCAGGCAGTGCTGCAAAAAGATAGAACATCTGGAGTTGACAAAGGAGTCCTTGTCCAGTGGTGCTCCATCCTGAGCAGTTGGGCACAGCGCATTGACTGACAGGCTTGGGGATGCCAGGGACTGACAGCTCCTCATGAAGTGGTATATCAGGCAGCCAGCTGCTCTCACACCTTGACCCACCTGAATAAACAGCAAGGCACCCTCAACAATTCTTGCAAGCCATCTACCCAGGAGGACCCAGCAGTGATAGCCACTGGGTGTTTGGATACACACTTGAAGAAGCACTCAAGAGTCAAAATAAAATGGACAAGGGATAAAACTGAATTTTAAAGAATTCCTTAACATATATGGGTTTGTAAAAAACTTGAACATTTCATAGTTTTGTTGTAAAACTGCATTTTTACATTACAGGAAATTCAGTTCAGAAAAGCAGGAATCCTTGTTTATTTTCCAGATCTGTCAGATGTATTTTCCTTTCAGTTGATATCTTCTTGTAATTTTTTTTTTTAATGAAACCTTTTCCTTTTATTTACACACCTCATCCTACTCTCTGTAAAATATCTGCCGTGCGGTCACTTTGCAAACAAGCAAGAAGCACCCTGTTCTCACAAGACTCAAAAAGCACTACTATCCCTAAACATGAAACTTCCTGCAAAATAAGACTTCTTTAATGAAAAACAAGTAATGCAATTCTAGATGCTGAAAGTGTTAAGGCTTTAACACAGTCAGGCAGAGTTGCCTTCTCTGTTGTTCCTGAACAAGCCTTTCCAACCACTCGTGATGTCAGGAGGCGCCATTCGGACAAATAGCAGCAACCCACATCTCTGTGGATTTTCCTCAGCCTCCATAAATAGACACTTTCTTTGCTGCTCCATCATGTGAATCTAATGAGTGAGGTTTTTTAAACACTGAAACTAAATCAGCAGTGCAGATACAGGCACCAGTCTGAGCCTGTCTAGATCCTTTCTCCTCAAGGCCCTGTTAGCAGAGGGGCACCCAGGTTGTGAAGCAGATGTACAGCCTCCTCCAGAGCAACATCCAAAATCCTGCACAGCAGTATGTAACCATTCAAAGTCAGTTCCCCAAACCAATAAAACTCCATGCCTCACACTTCTGAAAAGCACAGAGGCAAGGAAAGGACTTTCTCCAGAGCCACAAGGCTGTGGAGAAGGAAACTACAGAGGCAGAAGCCCAAGGCCAGGAGATGACTTGGTTTGTCACCAGCAGTCTCTAGGTTTGTCACTGACCAATGGACAATAACTGTGTTTTACACCTCTTGTCTTATGGGGTTGGCACCTACATAATTCAGACCCCTCCAGGGCAGCAACTTCAACCAATGATGAACATCTGGAAGCTTGAAGAGAGGTAGAAAGGGTGAAGAAGGTGGTATTCAGTCATCTGTGGTCTCTGTGAAGAGTGGGAAGGATAAGAAAAGGAGAAGACAAGAAAGAGAGAGAACAAAGAAGTCCAAAATGATGTCATCATATTCCTAAAAAGCTATCAAAATCTGGTAGCTGAGAGAGGAAATTGTAAAACTCACTGCTGAGTACATAGAATTTCTCAGCAACTGGCTGGTTATCAAGGGTCGTAGTTTGCAGATAGTGATGCCCAAGTATTTCTGACTCACCAGAACAGCTCTCAGTTTTATTTTCTTTTCTGACAGATCTTCAGGAATATGTCTTGTCCTCCTGCAGTTTTTGAGCATTACAGGTTGGCATTATAACCTTTCACTTCAATTCCTGTTTCTCCAGGGACAAGACAGTACTTTGTGGCCCAACACAGCCTAGAAGAAAGTCCTTACAGAAACAGTAACCCAGATCACTTTTAGCCCCTCTTTGGTCTTCGGCTTGATCCAGCTGCAGGTGAGAGAGGAGACTCAGTGGTTGCTGGTGATATGACAGCAGCAGCCAGAGTAGCTTAGAGGCCAGATGGGTGGTTAGCAAAACATCAGCTGTGGATCATTGACACATCAGTTACACAACTCTTCATACCAAGCACCACTGTTACACCATGGGTAACACTCCTCCTCCATGATCAAACCCAAGATTTTCTTACAGTGGTCAGAAAAAAACATCCATTTGAGCAACATCTTGGAAGTCGTGCAAACGACTACGAAAACACCTACATCAATAGATTCTTTCTTTGATAATTTAATCAAATTCATGTGCCAATGTCAGATGAAATCAGCATATCTCTTCCTCAGTGGGGTTACGGTCTAGCTGACAGATTGCTGTGTGTGCAGCACTGTTTTAGCCAGCCAACGGGATCTGCAGATGAGCGAGGAAGTGGGTAAGTGCCACGGAGGTAAACACAAGGTCAAGAAGATGGCTAGAGAGAGAGTGCAAAGTGCTAAGCAGAGCAGTGACAGGCATCCAGAAGGGATTTTTCACAAGCATGCTGGCATGCTCTGTTGCACAGCTTGCTCTGCTCCGTAGGTTTCAAGCAAAAGCAGACTGTGACAAATATTTAGAGAGTGCTTCACAGGAATCGAAGTTGAAAGATGTTGAATCTGCACTGGCAGAGCCAAGCAAAAAAAGTGGCAAGTGAACTTTTTCCTACACAGATTGCACAGCAGAATAAGTTCTCTGATTTCCAAAGACTTTTTTTCGCTTCTTGTCATAGGCAACCCTGCTGTGAAAAAGTTTCTGGAAGCCTCTTTTGCAAAACCATAGTGGCATATCTTGTTGAATCAACTGGGATGAAAAAAAGGCCAAAAATTTTTGAAAGTCCTATTAACGACCCACAAAAGCTGTTGAATGCTCATGTTGGGCATCATCTTGCAGCAGACGAGGAGAGCAGCCTGGCAGCTGCTACACTCAGCACGGTAGCGGCGTTGTGTTGTTCCCTTGTGGATGATTCACAAGGACTTTGGTGGGGGAAGCAGACAAATCGTGAAGGGGATTTCTTATGATGCAGTGAGTTTAGTTAGAAACCAAAAGAGCAACCCGGGCCGTTGGAAACAATTCAGAAATACGATTTTCCTTTTCAGAAGACAACAGCTTTTGTTAGCCATATCACTGTGGGCACAGCAAGAATGGGGGAGAAAAGCCCTGTTTCACAATATAGCATGTTTCACATGTAAGCATGTGGCTTACATAAAACCTTTGCTCAGCTAAGTTGGGGGAAAATAGAGTTAATACTTGTTATGGTGGTAAAAAGGGCCTCTGCTCCCTTCTAACAATATCTTCAGGCAAAGGGGAAAGTACCTGCAATATTCCCAGTCATAAGGTAAAAGAGCAGCTTTCAAGTCCTTTTTCTCCTGTCCAAGGCTTCTGGGGAGATGGGCGTTTAAGAATCTGTGTGTGGCTTCATTTAGTAGTTCAACATGTGTGTAAGATTCACCTGCCATGACTCAGACATCTTGGTCCGTGCCAATCACCTTTACCTCCATTTGTAGTTGAGGAAGAAAAACAGGCAGAGAAAATTCACTTATCCAAAACCTGGCCTGAGAGACAGAAGAGCTGAGCAATTCTCTGTTTTGACTTCATAGAATCATGGAATGGTCTGGGTTGGAAGGGACCTTAGAGATCATCTTGTTCCAATCCCCCTGCCAGGCGTAGGGACACCTTCCAACTGACCAGGGTGCTCTAAACCCCATCTAACCTTGGTCTTGAACACTGCCTGTGATGGGGCATCCACAGCTTCTCTAGGCAACCTGTTCCAGTACCTCACCACCCTCATAAAAAAAGAATTTCTTCCTGGTATCTAATCCAAATTTACCTTCTTTCATTTTAAAACCATTATGTCTTGTCCTACCACTACATGCCCTCTCCAGCTCTGTTGTAGCCCCCTTTAGGTTATGGAAGGCAGCTATAAGGTCTTCCTTCTCCAGGCTGAATAACTCTCACACTCTCTCAGCTTGTAGGCAAGGTGCTCCTGCTCTGATCTTCTTCATGGTCATCCTCTGGACTCTTACCAAAAGATCTACATTGGACTTGTACTGAGGACCCCAGATCTGGACACAGTACTCCAGATAGGGTCTCATGAGAGGGGAGTAGAAGGGCAGAATCACCTCCCTGGACCTGTAATAAAAGTCTAATAATAGTATCTTATTAATACCATTATTACTATTACTACACAGTACTATCAAGCATACAAATTTATATTCAGCTGTGAGTCTAAGAGATCTTTAAGGTCCCTTCCAACCCAAACCATTCTATGAATCTATTATTTAAAACCGTCTTTATGCTTCACTTTGATTAAAGCTACATAAATTAGTAATCTGTGAGTGTTGTTCAATTTCTGCTACTAAATTTACTTTAAAATGCCATGCCGGTGTTGTAGACTTAATAGCAATTTAAAAATGAGTATGTTGACTGAAAATGGGTTGGTGTCAGACAACAGGGAGAGAAGATTGATAACAACTTTAAATTCTGCATGGACTATAATCAGAATTACCAATGGCCTTTAGAATACCAGAATATACTTGTTTGGAAGAACCACAGATGGAGTCAGCTGTTATTGGTACTATGGGGTAAGGTAGATTTCCCCCCTCTCAGATTGCTCCCTTCACCTGTTAACCTGTTATTATAACAAAGACTTGTTTTCATCAGCTGGTCTTCTGCAGGGCTCACCTTATCTACCAGCAGAGAATGCTGGTTTCATATCAGAAGTGGGGGCAGGGCAAAGAGCGATGGTGAGGCAGGGCAACGAGTGGAGAGGGAACCTTGTGGCAGCAACCAGGGATTCCAGGGTGTTGATGTATCTTGGGAATGCAAGGGATTTTTTTATCTTTTCATGAAGGTAGGAAAAACTACTTTAAAGCAAACTGATACAGAATGAGGGCCCATGGAGACACTGGCAAGAAGCACCGAGGATGAACTTACAGAAAATGGCATGGAAGTCTGTCATGGAAAGAAGTACATACTATCAGTGTCTTTTTCACTTAAAATAAACAAAACTTTCTAGTACTTACTGAGAAGCAAAGCATGCACAACCTGCACAGTAAAATAGAGAAAGATCACAGAGGAGCAGGAGAGACCTTTCAGAAGACAGTATGTCCAGTGCCAGAAACATCATCTTCACTATAGATAGGACTCTTCACCATTGAAGTGAGACACTGATTCACAAAGCAACAGCGTACTAAGAAGCAGCATGAAAGGTTTTGAAGAGCAGACCTGTGTTTGCTGAACACGGCATCTCATGGTCTGCTGAGAGGTAAAGGATTTAATTTCATTTCAGCAGTGACTATTTGATAGAAAAGCAGAACACAGCCTCAGACATGCAAACCATAGAAACGTTCACAGGAATGGAGAAGCAGTGCTAGGGTCAGGTGCCAGGTTTTATCCCTAAATGATGGGACAAGATGAAGGTAAGAATGAACCTGAAAGCTCTCAGGCAGCCATCCAGGTAACCTCAGATGAAAGTCAAGGGTGAATATGCTCTGAAGTACATACCTTTAGCTTAGTAAGTAACAGCTAAGGGTAAAAATAGGGAAATCTTACAAAGACTGTGAAAAAAAATGGAGCAGAAAACGCTCTGTGATACCCCATGAGCTGTAGCTCTGGCACACACAGAACCATGTGCACATTTGTAGGGATGGATGTAGGCTTACGGAAGCATTAAGTGCTTGTGGAGGCACTCCTGAGTCCTTTAGGGAGAGTGTTAAATCAAAGCAGACCTACCAGGGAGATAACCTTTCAACTTTTACAATAGGAGGAAGATGATTGGCCTCCATGACCAGCTGACCCCGTTGCCCTGTTAAAATGTGCTGGTTTGAATCAGCTGCAGCTCACATCAGCCTGTTAGCCAAGCACAAGTATCCTGACACCATGAGAAATCACCATGTTTTAAGCCCAACTGAAACTAGGAGAGAAATACAGATTCTTTTTCTCCCCTCATTATTTTCTTCCTCCTCAAATGTTTGCGTAGCTATTGTTCTGCAGAAGATACAAGTATCAGTCCACCTCATCACCTCCTTCACCAACACCAGCACCACTAGCAAGGAGATATTTCACGTGACTTTTGGCCAGAGCCAGACGGGTGGTCCTGCAGTGCCTGGGGCCACTGGCCATGTGGAGGAGGAGGGTGAACCCACCCACAGCACTGACCTACAGCAGAGCAATCTTACCACATAGGGACTCCTGATGAAGCTAAAGCCACTCTTCATTAAAACACACCTACCTCATTCCTGTCACTAAGAAGCAATTGCATCAAGAAGTGCCACTTTGCAGCAACACCCTTTGGGGAGATGTGATGCACCAGATCTGGGTCACCTCCTCTTGCCTTTGAGGTACATCTGTGCTGTGTTGGGATATGGGAACATCCTAAAGCAACTGTTGACATCTCTTCCCAGCAGTGCCTCTTTCAGCAGCTGCAAACCCTACCAGAGCTGATGCTGCTCTCAGTGCTGCTGACAGTGTGAACACCCTTTATTGCAGCACAGTGGCTGGAGGAGATGACCTCAAAAAGACACTTAGTAGAAGAGCAGTCTGGAGGACATCTCCTATGGCGCACAGGTTTCCTCCTTATATTGGGTATCCTCACCGTCACCTCTGCCACATGAAGGAGAGCCACACAAAACTATCTTGCTACAGAGGTGTTTATGGGCTGAGAGAATCTCTCCTCTAAACAGGGAAAAAAGCACATAAAGTAGGTGTACATGGGGAAGGAGTCCAGAACATGACAAACTGGTATTCACCACTCAGCAATTACACTGCTGATCTGCCAGGTGCCCACACTGGTGTGTGTAGACACATCTGCCTCCCTCCTAGACCAGGTGGCAGACATTCACATCTGTCTCATGAGGGCCATGGGCAAGTGAGTGATTGGTCATCTGGGACTTTTTTTTTGTTTGCTTTGGCTGGTTTGGATGAGGATAAAACACAGGGACATTATAAAAGGCTTCTATTGTGCAGGCCAAGTTCACACCAGTGCAGTAGGCATGGAAGGGGTTGTGTTCTGTCTTTGAAGGGCTCAAATTCTCTCACATCCCATCAACTACATGAGCCTTTCTGGGCTCATGGAGATGGATTAAGGATTACATTTTACAGGGCCTTCCTCAGATGCTGTCAGCATCATATGTCAGCAACATACTTAGGGTCATTCATCACCCTTTGATCCCAGAAAGCACTGGTGACAGTGGGCTTCTGGCACAGCCACATATTGCCACCTCACTCTGCAGTCCCAGAAGAGCAGTCTCCACCCTCTATCTGGAAAGCATCCTCTGGGGTGTAATTCCTCATCTTCTCACAGCTAAGAGAGCAAGTAACCTCTGGAAATTATGCATTTCAGTGCCATGGTGTTATGACCTTATAATCAGCATGAAGCAAACACTGAGTTAATGAACAAGCAAAATATCATGGATGAGGAAGAAGAATTATCCTTTGTGAGCATTTTCACAGGAGGTTATTGAAACACCGAATAAACATAGTCCAAGAGGCTTTTTAAGCTTCAAAACATTTCTGTGATGTATGTAAAAAAAAAAGATAAATATATGCTGGAGATCCCTGTTCACATCTGGGGTGGGAAATTGTAGCTTCTTTGCCGTGTACAGCAACCATAGCCCCAGCAGTTAAGCACAGGAAGTTAAGAAGAATACCACAGACATTTCTCATGTGAAGAGGTAAGTTAGCTAGTCTGAAAATATTTTAACTGAGTAAGGGTGTGACTAGTCTATAGGGCTTAAATTCTTTTTAGGGTGTAACAAACTACAGTGTTCCTTCTTTCTCTGGGATAAAGGTCTTCGGTCCTCTCCTGGAAATTTCATCCAAGATGGAAAAGCCATTTTTCAGGACATCATCTCAAGGGAAAACCTTCCAACACATTGGGTGAGAGGGGTGATGAGACATAACATTTGGCTGGGACTAAGAACTGCAGTGCCATTTGCATGCAATTTCACATTTATTAATGCAACTTCAGGAGAGATTTCAGAGCTTTAATCACTCCGATTGATTGTGATTAGTAATGATTTGTTGCGGTGATTTGCAGTGTATTTCCTTATAATGCAGTTTAAGTATAAATCTGCCTTGACTGGTTCTGGATAATTCAGATAGTCTGTAAGAATTGTTCCTCTGGGAGCAAAAGCCTGGATGTTATAACACCAATTTCCATCATAAGATGCTTTTTAAATAAATCAAAACAATTGTTTTCACTCAGGTCCTTGCACTAAAGTGA